GGGGGGAAACGGGGGGGAGGGGGAAGAAACGTAGGCAAAAAGCAAAAAGGCGGGGCCCCCGAGGGGAAAGGGAAAACCAGGGGGAGGTGGGGATGTGGGTGGGGTTGCGGGAGGGGGGGAAGGGGGGCCGGTCGGGACAGCATCGTCTCGCGTTCTCCTCCCTCCTCCTGTCTCCCTCCTCATGCGTGTGCGTGCGTGTGTATGTGTTTCTGTGCGCATGTCTGAGTGTACCGCAACCCCTCTCCATTTCCTTACTGCTTGGACTCCATCATCACGAGATTCTGCTACATATATAACTCCCATTTAAAACATACATACATACATACATACATACATACACACATACATACATACATACATGCACGTGCACGTAAGGGGCCCATATTTATGGCTGGCTGCTACAGCCCCCCAAACCATCCAAATTCGCAGCCCACCCCTCTCCCAGCGAACCCCCCCACCCCCCTCACCCTCCACCCCCCCACACACACACACCACACACGCATTTCCCGTACCTGCAGCTGGTCAGGTGCGTACCAGAAAAACCTGGGAAAGAATTTCGATTCGGTGCCGGGGGGTGAGAGAAGGCAGAGGGAGGAAGGGGGAAAGGGCGGGCGGGAGGGGTTAGATAGGCGGGAGGAAAGGCGCCGCCGGGCTGCAGAGAAAAGGGGGACGAGGGGGAGGGCGAGGTCCGGGACCTCCTCTGCGGTGTCAGGCCGCTGGACTCAACCAGCCACCAACACCAATTGGCTGCCACCACCTTACACCACCGAATGACCCGGATCTCAGGTCTTGCACAGCCGCCCCGCCACTTGCCCCTTTTTCGTCCACAAACGTGCATACATGCATGCATACATACATACCCCCACTCACTCGGGGGTCTCCGCCACACTGCCCAACAAGTTCACGGAGCGCTTCAACACAAACACCTGTCCGGGTTGGGGTTCGGGGTTGGGGTTCGGGGTTGGGGTTGTAAAGAACGGAAAAAGGGGAAAGGGGGGAAGTGATGCTGGG